CTAACACAGAGAGTCAAAATATGACGCAAAACATCTGATGTCTTAAATATCACCTTATTTCTAGACTTCAGTTACAGTGGAAGCTGGACGAAAGCAGTTTGCACGGGTTTCCGAACCCTCTGGATGATCCGTAGACCATTTGGTATCCTGACGTGAAAAATATTTGTTAAATTATTTACGGCTTTTGTTAGGCCGCACCTGTGGTACTGCGTTCGGGCTTGTCCTCCCGACCCAACTCGTGACAGGGACGCACAACTTGTCTTTTGGAGTCGAATCAAAATAGTCCCAGAGTTGCGGCTCTTTTCATGTGCTAACAGGTTGTTCAAGTTAAGCATGTTCTCACTACACCATCGTCGTCTTCATGTCGACTTGATCCTCACTTATGGTATAGTGACAAGGCGGATCAACTCAAAATTATCTTTGCTTTTTCGTTTTATAGTTACCCAGTCTTCGTGGGCATTCGTTTAATTTGCACAAACTCTGGTCGTTTGTCACCTAGAGCGATAAATTCCTGGAGCCCGCTACCCGAGGACGTCGTATTGTCACCAACTTAGACGGGGTTTAAACGTCACCTCAGCGTTTTGCAGCTTCGAATCTTTACTTTCTCTTCTTAACTTCCTTTCTGGTTGCTCTTCAGTTCCCTTCCTTTTTTACTAAATTCCTCTTCAGCTTTTATTGTTATGTTCTCACTGTATACATACATACATACTGTATACATACAAGTTAACTCTTCCTTTTCTTATTGCATTCGGCGGGCGCAGCGATTACTGCTAGCACAGAGCACATGGGTTTTGAATGGTTTATCACGACGGGATCTGTACGTGCTAATTTGGCTCCAACAACTGGCCTATCATACCACCGAGTTCTAACGTGGATCAAAGACGCTTTCAGGATGCAATGACCATGGAAATCTCCTTTTGTTACTGTATCGTTTGAATTTATCTTCTAGAGACCCATAAAGTTCGAAGATCGTTGAGTCATTGTCACGCTACTCGCTGACATACTCCTACTTCGGAAACGTAGACTACCAGCTGTTGTGGCCATAAACGAGGGGGGTTCTAAATCAGTCCCAGGGACCACTGTCGACTTCACCAGCATTCGGCTTAAATGCTTGGCGAAGGCTGTCAGCAACCGGATTTATGAGCGCTTATTTGATAGAGCGGTGGTATGCTCGTCTGCTTTTCAACCATAAGGTCACCGGTTCGAATCCGCGTAGAGGCGGGCGTCCTCGCGGTATACCCAGGCCACGCGCGACTTGTGGTGGTCACGTGGCGATTTATTATCTATTAGATGAAATAACTAGCTGTCTGGACAATGGGGTTTCAGTAGAAGTTTTCTGTCTCGATTTCAGTAAGGCATTTGACTTCGTTAACCATCGTTTCTTACTGGAACAGCTAGCATGGTTTGGGATACATTCCGAGCTATTGAAATGGATAGCAGAATTTCTTGACGTGAGAACCTTCGATATTAGGGTTGACTCCAACTCAACATGGGAGCTGCTCACAGTGGTGTTCTCTAGGGTTCTGTTTTGGGCCTTATTATGTTATTTATGTATATAAATGACTTAGCCCTTCTCCTTGAGAACCATTGATATATCTTTGCGGACGATGTAAAACCCGTTAACCGTGGCAATCGAAACGTCGAAAGATTTTTGCACTATATCTTGGTGGTCGTCCTTGTGCGATTTGCCTCTTACTGCCAACACGTCAACTATCTTTCAATAGCGATGAGGTTACAGCGCAAACATCTGCCGGTACCCTGACGTTACAGCGCGTTGATGAAACGCACGATCTGGGTATCACTGAGGCGAGCAACTTCAAACGCTCAATATAATGACAACATGCGGCCAATAAGGCTCGGTCAGAGCTATTTCGTCTCAGGAGGACGTTGTATGACGCTATACCTGAGGTTTTCCCTCCCTTATATAAGGCGATAGTACGACCTCACTTATATAATACTGTGTGCAGACTTAAGTGCCGTGTGTCCGGAAGGATATCGCTTGTATAATAATGGCGACTAGAATGAATAGAGCCCGGCTTTGGAAGTCATTGATGGACGCCTAAGGAGCCTATGCTTTTTATATACATAAAACTGCACATCTTGAAAGCGGACCTGATTAAAACATTCATCATTGTGAAGGGCCCCAGGGGTCTTAAGCCTTCTGATCTGTTTGAACTAGTTACATCCCACAACTTGCAGGGGTATGAACTCAAGCTTATGCACCAGCGGTCTAGGCTGGAACTTAGGGCCGAATTCTTTTCGAATCGTGTAGTTCATAGTTGGAGCAAGCATCCTTCTGCATTAATGGGAAGTACTACTGCAGAGGACTTGAATAAACGTATAGTAAAGTGTTGTCCGGGTTTTTCCTGTAGTTATTGTAGATTTATAAAATGTGCTTGGACCTCGTAGTCCATGACTCAAGGAAGTACAGAGATTGCTCTTGTTCTTGCTTAACCCCTTCGCGGGAGCAAAGAGAGTAACTCCAACGTTCAAGTGCCGGTGGCCATGATTTGCTTGCCGGTACACGAAACAGCAATCTAGGTGGGAACCCATTTCGTCCTTGGAATATGACCTGAACTTCGATTAGACGGCCATTGTTGTTTCCTTTTCTCTTTACTGTTTCCTTCACAACCATCACCCGCGCTTGTTCTCACCATCTAGTCAGTTCAGGTTTGTTCCTCTTGGGAGCTGAGATAACGGCCTCGTACTCGCCACTAGGTGTTAGTCAGGCGTTCCTTACATCCACTGGGGTGTCTTACTAGATGACAGTGATAACCTCAACGGCATACTAGGTAGTTGTTTTCCTTGCAACCTTCACTCCAAGCATATTGCGATTTACCCACCCCTTAGAAACGCAAGTCATCGGAATCCTCGACCGGGCGCATATTGCACTTACAGTGACAGGATTTATGTAGATTTATGTCGGCATCAACTGGTAGGCGGGTAGAAGGACAGCTGCTAGAGGCCGGTAGAACGTGATATTCAGTTTGCCGCAGGTGCTATAGCAGCGCCACGCATACCGCAGACCTACAATGGCTGTGTTCCTCGATTTCAAGGGTGCGTTCAATTCAGTCGATCGATCGACTCTGTTCGAAATACTTGCGCGGAAAGGTGTTCCCACGAACTATCTGAACATCCTACGTGCTCTATACTCGAACACTACAGGCCGCGTCAGGGTGTACGATGGCCTATCGGATAGCTTTCCGACCACAAGTGTCGTTCGTCAGGGTTGTCCGATTTCTCCATTTTTGGTCAATTTCTTCTTGGATTCTATCATGGAGTGTTTCGTTGCGGAATTTCACGATGTGGGCGTTGAAGTGCTGCCTGGTGAAAGATTAGCTGATCTAGATTATGCGGACGATATCGTCTTGCTTTTCGACGATGTTGCGGCGTCACAATCAACCCTGAATAGCCTGTCTAGAGTGGTCCCATTATTTGGTATGCGCTTTGCACTATCGAAGTGCAAAGTGTTGTTGCAGGACCACCAGCCACTTTATGACCCCTTGACGCTTGCTAACGAGGAACTCGAGGTAATTGATCAATTCACTTACCTTGGCAGTTGCATCGGCAACGAGTTTCCCTTCGTCTGAAAGGCCGTGTATACAAGGCCACAATGTAGGCCGTTCTGCTCTATGGTAGTGTGACCTGGCCCTTTCGGTCTGAAGATTGAGGCGCCTTCAAGTCTTTGATCATCGTTGTCTGCGAAGCATTGCTGATGTCGGATGGCACCAGCGTGTCCGCAACGATGGTGTGCGTGGGCGAGTACTAGGTAGTGATAAACATGCTAGCTTTCTCGAACAACAGATAGCACTGAATAAGTTGCGTTGGCTCGGACACGTGTTACGTATGCATGGTCACCGCTTACCTAGGAGGGCATTGTTTAATCTGTCAGGTGCAGGGTGACACAAAGCTCGAGGTGGACAGAAGTTGACTTGACAGCGGGAAATGAAGTCACTGACGACCAAACTCGGTGCCGTTGGTCCGTCTCGTCTTCCGGGCTGGAGTCCACGGGACGTGCCTTGTGCTTGGCTCGAGACTTTACAGGACGTGGCTCGCAACCAACACCAGTGGCTTGTCTGCTGCCCTCTCCTAATCTGATTGCCTGTTTAAAGTGTGTTTGGTGCTGAGTTATCTGCAGGGTAATGGCTGATTATGATGCGCGGCAGTGAAAGCCGCAAGGAAGCTGTCTCGCTGATGCCGCCTTATCTTTGCACGATAGCCAGCTGTTTGCCACGGTATGTTGTCTGCATAAGGTGTACGCGCCTTGGCCCTGTATGTTTTCTGAGGACATTAAAGTTTTCAGGTAAGTCCCCTTTCTCTCCCTCTTATTATTATTATTTATTTATTTCATAGGTCTTCATGGTTGTATGGCAACGAAGCATCAGTTCAAATGGCTGATGTACTGCTGCTGCTGCTGTTATTGTTGTTAGTAGAACGTGATGGCTGTGCAATTATTTAGATGTGTCGTAGGGGAGGAGCTGACACCCTCCCTCTTTTCTTGGTTGCGCTTAGTTCTGTTCTTGCAAGGAGGCTTGTCAATGGACTTAAGCACCAGGGGATCGATCGCGGTGTCCCAACACAACATCGAGCGGTAGATGTTCGTCAGAAGTCAACTTCGCACTGGATTCTAACCTATCGGGTGTGTGCCGTATCAATATAATTACACAATACCGAAAACAAAAAATTGCCGCAGTTTTTGCTCGTTAACTTCTTTTTACTCTTTAAGCACATCCGCTTCGGTTGCTAAATAACACGATTACAACATATGAAAGAAGCGAGATGTTCATAACGGGTTTGGATTTTGCCATTGCATTTGCGTTCGCAGAGGCAGCTGTTCGATGGAGAGCGATCATCTGACCGTTGTTCTTTGTTTTTACCTCCCCATTTTCTCTCTTACACTGCCAGTCCAACTGTCTTACATGTTTATCTTCTCTCAACCAGCTCTTTTCTGCTCCATCTTCAACCGCTCAAATGTTTTCACCCTCTATTCCTGTTTTACAGGTCGGTTACTATCCGCTATACGCATTGAACGAGGAAAATCTTGGAATCCCTCACCGAACCCATACTACATTAACATTCCGATAACCGAATATCTGGATTTTCCTTTTTCATTATGGCGATTGGTTTTACTCGTCACGTTTACTTGAAACTTTGTCCGTTAACGGCTTTACGCACCTATAGAGTAGGTTTACATTTTTATGATTTAAGTTTGCTGCTGCTTTAACGCATTCGGATCAATCCACCCGTTACACTCCAATACTCGATATAACAAGACCGGAGTTGAAGGAAACAGTCGCACTTTATCGCGTTGTGAATCAAGATGGGTTTGCCTCTTCTCCTGACTCGGAACCTACAGTGAGCACTGTCGTTATAGCACGTGGCAACATTTGCAGTTGGCGAAGGCGGATCTCTTACAAATGTTCCGTACCATGGTTTTGCTGAACACCATGGATCGAATTATGTTTGAGTCCCAAAGACAAGGTCGTATCTCGTTCTATATGACTAACTACGGAGAGGAAGCCTGCCAAGTTGGATCGGCGTTCGCTTTGGACAAAGGTGGGTCCGAGTGACTTTTAGACTCTTTTCATCCTCGTATCTTTGGAGGAGAATCAGACCTCTATTTATCACTACTAGGCGATCTGATTTACGGTCAATATCGCGAAGCTGGTGTTTTATTGTCGCGAGGGATGACCCTGGAGCAAATGATGGACCAGTGCTACTCAAACGTGAATGATTGCTGCAAAGGCAGACAAATGCCCGTTCATTATGGCTCACTTGACGCGAACTTCTCTACGATTTCATCCCCACTGGCAACACAAGTTCCTGTCGGTAAGCTTTCCACTAACACTTTGAATTTTGTACTTACCAAATGATATCCGCTCTGCTTATCCATATACTCTTAAACCTCCTCGTTAGCACTTACCGTTACTCTTGTCTGAAGTGCCATTTTTAACCTGAAGCACAAACGTATTAGACTGAATGAATAGTTTGACAGCGGAACTCTTCTTTTCCGCAGAATCATTTAGCGACCCACTCCACCAACACTTGCGCTGACCATTCTCTTCGTATTAACACTTGTTTTATCACTCTTGCGCGTTACTTCCACCCTTCGAATTCATTACTTTAACACTGCAGTCTTTGTGTTAAATAATCTTTGTATCATTGTTTAAAGTCATAAATACCTTGAAGCAGTTAGTTCCCTTCAGTAGATTGAATAGTACTTTGTGAAGATGAACACCGGTTAATGAGTGCATTTCGTATTATTTTCTCAGTAACAATACATTGACAGCCAGTGTTTTATATAACGTTCAAAGGGTGCTACTAAACCAATCACATATGAGTGGCGGACGACGATGCCTCTAGGACCACAGCAACTGAAGATGGACAGCCAATAGTTTCTGTGCACACAGGGCGAGTTTGAGCTTGCTGTTCGCCACGGTATCGGAAAACTTCAGAGAGGTGACGTAGCAAAATCCGAGACGCCGAGCCGCCGTTAACCGGATGACGATTTACCAGAATATGCCTGTTTATTGATGACGCCAGTGGTTTACTTGAGCACGGAATGTTGAACGTGAGTTGGTTGACCTCACGTTGAACACAGTCGCGCAGGTGTTTCGGAATTCAGAATTGTTAGTTCTGCCTGTGTAACCGATTTCGCAGTCACATTTGAACTGATGAGTGCAGTGCTGCTTGACGACGCTACGTTCCTCTTCCTCTGTTGAAGATAGCGACACTTCCCGGGTTTTATTGACCACCACGACGTCCGCGCCGCCGTAGCTTCTCTAAATGGCAGAGAGGAAGCGCTTGGTTGTCCTCATGTGGCGTTACTCTTAAGCGGAAGCTCGAGGTGTCTTTTTCTTGAGTGCTGCCAACATCATTTCGTTCTGTGGTCTGATCTGACTGTATTTCTCAATGGATAGTCTAAGGTAGCCCTTTACTATAAGTGTTTGGGTCATCATCATTACACACGTCAGCTAGAGGTGGGAAAACACCTCCGCTATTGTGCCGCGATACACGAAGGAAATACATACATACATACATATAACACAATACACAAAGGAAAACTAGATACAATAGTTGCATGCCAGCTGAGCTACCAGCAATGGATAAGCATCGTTCCGGTAAGCTACCAGTCAGCTACTAGGCAAAAAGAAATTTTTTTTATTGTTTTACCCTACGAAATGAGATCGTAGATGGAGGGGGAGACTAAAAGGGATGGGGAGGGACAAAGAAACTCAGAGCAGGAACGCCAGTGAAGTCGGCTCCTTGCCATGTCAGCAAGTGTATCCAGGCAAACGTGTTCACCGTCTTTTTGACCCCAACCAGGGAGCCGTGACGCTCCAACCGACGCTAGCTCCGAAGTGAGGGACTTCGTTCCCCTGGACCAAATCATCGCTTGGCCACCTCTCCTCTTCTTCCACCTACATTCCCGGTGAGCAAACAACGCACGTCGAGGGAGTCGGTGGGCTGGCATGCGTAACACATGGCCGATCCATCGGAGCCTAGTGTGGGAAATAACGGTGCTGAGCGGTTCAGATCTTTTTCCTGGGCGGTAAACAAGGCGTCGAACACGCTCGTTACTCACGCGGTGTTCCCACCAGATGTGAGCCAAACTGTGAATGCACGGATGGTCGAACGTAACTAGTCTCTTCATGTCCGGCGATCTTAGGGGCCAGGTTTCGCAACCGTACAGTAGGGTCGAACGTACCGCTGCATTGTACACTCTACCCTTCAGGGCGAGAGTAAAGTCGTGCCGCCTCCATAGGTTGCGAAGGTTAGCAAAAGCACTTCGAGCTTTCATTATACGGTTCGTCATCTCGTCTTCGATCCCAAGAGCGCTGATACAACTTCCCAGGTAATTGAATCTCTGAACGACTTCCGGGTTGATCCCCACCAAGTGTCAGCGCAGGAGGCGATCCCTGCCAATCTTGGAGGAAAACTTTGCACTTCGATGTTGCAAAGCAAAGTCCGAAGCGGCTGACAGCCAGCGCTAATCTATCCAGCGCGGCTTGACACGTTTGTGAGCTGTCACAGATGAGGGCAATGTTGTCTGCATACTCCTAGTCGAGAAGTCGTTCTCCCAGGAGTAGCTCCACACGTTCCAAGTCATGTCCTGTAAATGCAAACTCCATGGCTTCGTCAATAGCGAAGTCGAAGAGGAAAGGTGACAGCGGGCATGCTTGTCTCACACCGCTGGAGATATTGAAGGGTGGCGACAGCTTGCCGTAAGCCCTCACTCTGCCCGTGCTACGCGCATATTATGCTTGGATAATATTTACATATTTCTCGAGCACACTTTTCCTGAGTAGACAATTCCAAAGGGCACATCGATCAACCGAATCGAAAGCACCTTTGATGTTGAGGAACACGACTACGGTGGGCCGCTCCAACAACTGACGCAAGGTGAAGATGTGGTCGATGCAGCCACGACCACGACGAAACCCGGCTTGCTCCCCACGAATCTGGCTTTCACGAGCGCCAGTCAGTCTGTGAAGAATTATGGAGGCGAGTAATTTGGAAGCGATGGGGATCAGACTGATTTTTCTATGGTTGTCGCATGCCGAGCGCGAGCCTCCTTTGAAGATGGGAACAATAACGGAGCGGCTCCAGTCGGTTGGGACAATCTCCTGCTCCCACAGTTTCACTAGTAATTCATGTAAGGCCTCAACAAAAGCAGATCCTCCGAATTTGAAGAGGGCTGGAAGAAATCACCTGGTCCCGCGGCTTTGTTCAACTTCAACAGTTTCACATTCGACTTCTGAGCGAGAGGGTGGATCCAAAGGGACAGCCCACGGAGCAGGGCGATCAGTGACCGGCGAATCAAACAATTCTAGCCGATTAAATTGCTTTTCAAAATGCTCAGCCCAACGCTCCAAACGTTTTGACAAATTGTGGATAGGCTGTCCACTCTCATCACAAATTGTTTCACTAACATCAGGTCTCCTGTTGCCCGTTTCCCGTATCAGACGGAATAACTTGCGCTGGTTGCCAAGAGCAGCGGCCACTTCCATCTCTGACGCACGATGAGACCACCAGGATTCGCGGTCTCTCTTCAGGCTAGTGCGGAGTTTTGCCCGGAGCTCTTTGCGAGTTTCATTGTGTTCGCTTGCAGCCGGGATATGCCGGCGAGCGTCGATAAGTTCCAGAGACCGAGAAGAGACCCAATGTCCATGTTGGCTATTAGACGTACCACATGAGGATTTGCTGCTGCTGCTAGTAAGGTCTGGCGAACATGTGACCAGTGACCATCAATTGTCTCCAGTGAGCGATTACTCAACTCGCATGTCAGCGCACTTCGATACGCATTCAGAACAGCTGGCTTTATCAGTTGGCTGGTGTCAATGCGCTCACAGCGTCGTCGTGGGCGTCCGCCAAAGCGCATCCGCATGTCAGCACATACAAGTGTATGATCGGTGCCCACACATGTGCACCAAACCGAGCGACAGTTCTGGATGCAGCCTCTCCAGCGGTAACTGATAGCAATGTGGTCGATCTGCGTCCAAGGCTGGTTCGAGGCTGGTGGGTGCCAAGTCACCCTCCGGCGAATGCTGTGTCGGAAATTGGTGCTCTCAAGAAATAAGCGTGCATCTTCACACAACTGAAGTAACCGCTCACCGTTATGATTACGGGAGCCTACACCGTGCTGACCGCCCAAATGCATTTCATCAGTGGACAACTTTCCAACTTGTGCGTTCATATCCCCCGACAACACAACAGTGTCCTTGCTTCTTCTGTTGCGAAGGAGATGAGTCACTTGGCGGTAGAAGTCGTCCTTTACCGAATCATCGCTACAGTTTGTGGGCGTGTAGACAGCGATGATGAATAGACACCTATTAGCCCCGTGCGACTTCGAAGCTTTAAACGAGCCAGCCAATCGGACCGCACACATCCGGCTACTGATTGGAATCCAATCAACCAGAGCAGCTTCAGGCCGGGGACTCAGGGCAATGCCAACACCAGCTTGGCCGGTGCTCGAAGCTGCATCGTCACCGGATAGGCACACTGAGAAAACACTGCTTGCGTCACCAGAAGGGGATCGCAGAATGAGCACAGAGCTAGAGTCTTGCAGGCGGCTCCCTGATAAGCAGCAGATATCGATCGAGAGGGTCTCCAATGTTCGGGCAAGTGCTGCCTGTTGACCGATTTGTAGCAGTGTGCGTACATTGAGGCATGCCAATCTGAAGGAGGATCGAGGGCTCCAAATGCAAGCCGATGAACTGGAATGGACCGCTTGGTCAAACATGGGCTTGTCGACAGGAGAGGAGTGACGCTCCGCGTTCACATGTGAGTTGAAATTAGAAGATAAATGCCTAGCAAAGCATGTTGAGGGAGGGCCAAGAATCGGGGGTTGAAAACTGGGGGGGATAAAAGTGAAGTTGGAAGGGGACGGTAAGAGTGAAAAAGCATAAGAGGGGAATAAGAAGACGGGAAGGCTTGAGCAGTAGCATCCAAACCCCTATCCACCCTGCTCGATGCAGCAGATAGGGCACCGTTGATTATCCTCTGCGGTGGCCAGAGCATGAAGAAATTGTTTGAGGAATGATGCATTGTATTGCGTGGGCAGGATACTGTCAGGTTGCCCAGGCCTAGACAGGAGAACGATTAGGGTTCTCAACCAAAGCCTTTGGTGCAAAAACCTGACCGCAAAGCAGCGGGTTTGGCGTTGGGCTGCAATGAGTCCGTTTTAAGGAATAAGGTGCCACCCTCATTCCAACCCCCAACCTGGAGGACCAGGAGGCTGAGTTTGTCTGGCCTCTAACCATTGGCCAATCTGGTATGAGTGGCTCTGAAGGTGCAAAAGCACCACCTAGCATAGCTCAATGGATCGC